ATCATGGCCACTGGTCCCATCACCTCCTGGGAAATAGAAGGGAAAGATATGGAGGCAGTGACAGATTTTACTTTCTTGGGCTCCATGATCACTGCAGATGGAGACAGCAGCCACGAAATTAAAAGACGCCTGCTTCTTGGGAGGAAAGCAATGACAAACCTCGACAGCACCTTAAAAAGCAGAGACATCACCTTGCCAACAAAGGTCCGCATAGTCAAAGCTATGGTTTTTCCTGTCGTGATGTATGGAAGTGAGAGCTGGACCATAAAGAAGGCTGACCGCCGAAGAATTGATGCTTTTGAATTGTGGTGCTGGAGGAGACTCTTGAGAGTCCCCTGGACTGCAAGGAGATCAATCCTATCCGTTCTGAAGGAAATCAAGCCTGAGGGCTCACTGGAAGGACAGATCCTGAAGCTGAGGCTCCAGTACTTTGGCCATCTGATGAGAAGAGAGGACTCCCTGGAAAAGACCTTAATGTTGGGAAAGTGTGATGGCAAGAGGAGAAGGGGACGATGGAGGATGAGATGGCTGGACAGTGTCATAGAGGTGACCGACATGACTTTGACCCAACTCCAGGAGGCCGAAGAAGACAGAAGGGCCTGGTGTGCTCTGGTCCATGGGGTCACAAAGAGTCGGACACGACTAAACGACTAAACAACAACACCCCCAACCTAGGAAGAGATGGTGGGAGCTGTTGTTAAAAACAAAACAACAACCCTTTTCCAAGCGGTGATCTTGCTTGGACGAAGAACGCTGCTAGACTCGGAAGCTTGCGCGCCGGTTTCCTCCGCGGCAGCTGCAGCGCCCTCTCCCGGGCGAGCGAGAAGAGCGCAGGCGCGGCCAGAAAGAAAGAGGCCCCGGGCTGGGAGGGGCGAAAAAAAGAGCGCGCGCTCCTGCGCGACAGAGCGTGCGCAGTTGTCCGCCGTGGGTTCTTTCTCTCCCCGATCGCAGGTAGCCCTTCCCTCCCCGCGCGCGCGCCGTCGCCCGTCATCCGTGAGCGTTTCAGCTTCACCTCGCCTCCTGCGCAGGCGCCCGGAGGGTACGGCTCGTTACCAAGGGTGACGGACGGGGAGAGGAGCGCGGGAAGGACTGCTACGGCGCCTGCGCAGCGGTTGACCCGCCCCGTTATGATTGGCCGGCGCCATGCGGGGAGGACGGTTGTGAGGGGAAGCTCGCGACCGACCGACCGACCGACCGACTGAGGGACCCGCCGGCCGGAGGTAGGCCGAGGGCGGGCCGGGGAAGAGCCGGAGGAGGAGGAAGCGGCTCCTGAGGAGACCTGCCCCCCTCCCCTTCTCAAGACTGACCGTTTGGGGTGGGGGTGGGGCGGTGCTTGTTCTCGGGTTTCTCGGCCTCATGGCGGCGGCCGAGCGGCCTCGGGCCTGAAGCGCCTCAGGGCCCCCGGAGGGAAGGAGGCGGCCAGTCTCTCTTTTTCTTTTTCCCTGAGGGAGAACCTCCCCATCCCGCCAGCCAGCCGTCCTCGAGGCAGCGGGCTTTTGTTTCCCTTTCCCTGCTGACCCGTGTCAAGGCTGCTCGTCTGAAGGCGTCCTAGGCTAAGGCGTGGGCCAGCCGCGTGCTCGGGCCAACGCCGGGCGAGGAGGAAGGACACACACACACCCCGAGGCGCTCCCCCCTCTTGGGCTGGCTGGGCGGCCCGGGCAGAGCTCCGGTCACCTCCCTTCCCCGCCCACCGAGCGGACCGGACCCTCCCCCCTGACGGCCTCTCCTCTGCGGGGGTGGAGTGGGGGTGGGGTGAGGACAGAGGTAGAAACGAACAAACTGGAGGGGGCAGGGAGGGTTTCCACACAAGTAGCTGCTTCTCCGTTCACAACCTCCACTTTATTAGGGCCTCCGGCCCGTCTTTGGTCAGCCTCCCACGGCCAGGGCAAGTGGAGATGTGCGGTCCCAGAGGAGACAGGGGCCTCCACGTGTGAGGGGCCTGTTTCCACATGAGATGTGCAGGCCTGGAGGGAATATGCACCCGTGGAGGATGGGCCCTCCTCTCCCAGAGGAGATCTATGAACGTGCTTTCCACTTGCCTTGAGCAAGGATTAGGATCTTTCAGGCAACTGCCCGCGAAATAAGAGGAGTGCAGACGGTACAGTCCTCGCCAGCATTGTGACTCTTGTGCCCTCGCCCTTAGGGATCCTGTCCAGTCCATTGGATGGACATCAGGAGCGTTTCATCTATACGCTCGTTTAGCCGTGTCCGACTCTTCTTCGTGACCCCATGGACCAGAGCACGCCAGGCCCTCCTATCTTCCACTGCCTCCCGGAGTTGGGTCAAATTCATGTTGGTTGCTTCATTTATACAGCCCTCCTTTAAAAGCTTTGAACTTAGGCGAGGAAGGTAGGAAGAAGGATATTTGCATTGTTCCGCCTCACTACAGAGGCCCCAGTTGCTCTAGGTCAGGGGAGCCAGCCTCAAGCCACCGTGTGGCCCTTTTGTGCAAAGAGGGACATGGCACATATGCACCTATATGTGTTTCTCACTGTCTGCTCCCTCTTGAAGAGGAGGGCTCAAGTCACAGGCGAGGAGCCACATGTATGTGTCATTGGCAGGTGGATGCAAGACTCATAGTCCCATCCCCTCTGTCTGCTAGCCATTGCATTTTTATTTGATTAGGGAAAAGTCAACGAGGAATGTCTGAACTATATCAGATGTGACGATGAACCTGCCTGTAGCACCAAAACACTGCAGATTTTTGTCCATGCAATGAAGTGGTGAAGCAATGTGTTTTCAATATGGGTGGGCTGATTTAGAAAGAGACTGGTTTGGTAGTACCATAAAAAGTTAATGGCACTTTTGAATTTTGTCCATCTGTTTGGTATCCTGCAGCAGGCTTTTTCATTTTCTTAGTTAGGAGATAATCTTAAGGAAAAAAAAGCAGGGAGCTGACTCTCAAACTATGCAAAATCCCAGCCATTTGAGCTATAAAAGGCCAAATTGGTGTTCCAGAATGCACCTGGGAGCAAACTTATGGATTCACGTCCTGGCCGCAGTGGTGGCCTACCAGGGCCCCTCTATCGCACGCATCAGACACACATGGGGTGCAGTACTTTACAGTTAGTTAAGCTTTTCAGTGCTGTTCAAGGGCAGCTGTACCTGACTGCGAGTAACAGAAACGTAGATGGGGGTGGCTAAAGCTTTTATCTCACCTGATGTCACAGTCAGTGGAGCAATGCAGTTGAAGAACAAACCATGCAGCAGATTTGTACAGTATGTGGTTTAATTTTTGTGTGTTTTTAACTTTCAGCTTCATCATGTCCACGCCTGGCTTTTGTTACTTGTGGATTCTCGTGATTGTACCATTTTGATGTCCTTTTGTGGAGCCTTCATCCTCCGCACCCTGTTCAAATTTTCCTCTGCAGCTGGCTCCATCTCTTGAGCAGTTGAATTACTGTATCCTCTTTTGCACCATGCTGCTGCACTTCATCCTTTGACAAAGCGGGGAGAGCTTTAAGTTACCATAGACAAACATAAGGGAAATAAGTTTTCAAAGATGAACGGACCTCGGGGAACTACGCCTTCACACATGAGAGGCCCTTGTTCAGATCAAGGAAACATGCCCCCGTGGAGGAATGGCCCTTGCCCAAATGAAATGTTTGATCAGGAGAGGTTGATGCCTTCATGGAGGAGGGGGCCATTTCAAGAGGAGATGTGCGGGCCTGGGAGTGGCATGCCTCCACGCATGGGGCGCCCGTTTCCAGAGGAGATGTGCGGGCCTGGGAGAGGCATGCCTCCACGGATGGGGCGCCCGTTTCCAGAGATGTGTGGTCCTGGAAGGGACATGCCTCCACGCATGGGGGGCCCATGGGCAGAGGAGATGTGCGGTCCCGGAAGAGACATGCCTCCACGCATAGGGGGCCCGTTTCCAGAGGAGATGTGTGGGCCTGGGAGAGGCATGCCTCCACGCATGAGGGGCCCATGTCCAGAGGAGATGTGCGGGCCTGGGAGAGGCATGCCTCCACGCAGGGGGGGCCCGTTTCCAGAGGAGATGCGTGGTCCTGGAAGAGACATGCCTCCACGGATGGGGGGCCCGTTTCCAGAGGAGATGTGGGGTCCCGGAAGAGACATGCCTCCACGCATAGGGGGCCCGTTTCCAGAGGAGATGTGTGGGCCTGGGAGAGGCATGCCTCCACGCATGAGGGGCCCATGTCCAGAGGAGATGTGCGGGCCTGGGAGAGGCATGCCTCCACGCAGGGGGGGCCCGTTTCCAGAGGAGATGCGTGGTCCTGGAAGAGACATGCCTCCACGGATGGGGGGCCCGTTTCCAGAGGAGATGTGGGGTCCCGGAAGAGACATGCCTCCACGCATAGGGGGCCCGTTTCCAGAGGAGATGTGTGGGCCTGGGAGAGGCATGCCTCCACGCATGAGGGGCCCATGTCCAGAGGAGATGTGCGGGCCTGGGAGAGGCATGCCTCCACGCAGGGGGGGCCCGTTTCCAGAGGAGATGCGTGGTCCTGGAAGAGACATGCCTCCACGGATGGGGGGCCCGTTTCCAGAGGAGATGTGGGGTCCCGGAAGAGACATGCCTCCACGCATAGGGGGCCCGTTTCCAGAGGAGATGTGTGGGCCTGGGAGGGGCATGCCTCCACGCATGGGGCGCCCATTTCCAGAGGAGATGTGTGGGCGCGGGAGAGGCATGCCTCCACGGATGGGGCGCCCGTTTCCAGAGGAGATGTGCAGTCCCAGAAGAGACATGCCTCCACGCATGGGGGGCCCATGGCCAGAGGAGATGTGCGGGCCTGGAGGGAACATGCGCCCATGGAGGAGGGGCCCTGGCCGAGAGGAGATGTATGAACATGGGAATAATTCATCTCCGTGGATGAGGGGCCCCTGCCCAGATGGCAAGCTTGGGCATAGAGGAAGCACATCTCCAGGGATGAGGGGCTGTTCCTTGCCTGAAAAGTGGAAGGCAGGAGGAAACATGCCTCCACCAAAGGAGCCAAAGCTTAATACATCTGACCCATCGCCGCCTAGCTCTCCAGGGCCAGGAAAAGGTGATCTTCAAGGGCCACCTGAAAACAGTGGCTCAGACCAGCCAACTTCAGGAGAGAAAGGGGAATGTTCCATGAGTGATCACAATGTTTACCTCCAGGAAGGTGCTGCAAGAATTTTAGAAAGCTTTGGTTTATCCAGTGAAGACTTTGATGAACTTTGTCGCTATCCAGATGACCAGCTGACGCCTGAAAACATGCCTGCCATTTTGGATGACATCCGGAAACGCAAAATGGCTGGCCTGTCTCCTCATGTACCTTCCTCGGAAACCTTTGGTCAAGATGGACCACACGTTTCTCCAGAAGGATCTGAGGTACCCATGACGGTCCAACCCGCTGTTCCTGAGCCTCCAGTAGTTCCCGATTCTTTAGAGGCTGAAAAGGGGAAGAACTGTCCGACCCCATCAGTAATGAATGACTACTGTTCTGTTGCCCCGAGAGCATTTCCTCACACGTGTTCTGTGTGTAAAATGGAATGCAGACATTTAGAGGTGAGAGTGTTGTCAAGTGGTTTGTGCTTTTGTTTTTTGTTTTTTAATTGGAAAAAAAGTAATACACTTGGATTGAATCTGTGTTCCTACATTTGGCGCTGTTGCCAAGCACCTTTTCAAGAAAACTGCATTGCTCCTATGCCACCAGATGGGCTGCCGTTCACTAAAGTAGGAGTGTCCATCAAGACACTTCCTGGTTTTATTAAAACAATAACTATTTTAGATCATTTCCGGTAGTGGGGTCTGGAAGCTGAAGTTTGATCCTCAGTCCTGCTGACATTGGCTACATCGGCTCTGAGAGGCTCAGGGTTTCACAGGCATTTCTTTTCACCCTACTGAATCTAAGTCTTGCCAGTGGTTCTGAGATGTGACCTCGGCCAAAGTCAACCAGGGAGATCCAAGGGGCTGAGTCTAGTCCCCCAGATATTTCATCTGCAACTCAAGTGCACTTGACTTAATGTGATTCAAATTAGTGGCTGTAGTTAAATGATATTGCTTTGAAAATCTTACCATTTAAAAGTGAATCCTGTTGTGAAGGAATGTTTAGGTGGGTACTGCTGTGCCACATTGTTGTGGATCACAGCCCATGTGTGGATATTACAGTATGTGGATATGGGGCAGATCTGAGCTGGCTTCTGTAGTTCCAGATGAGTCAGAAAGGGTGTTTCTAACTTAAACTCCTGCTTCCTTTTAAATATGAAATGCTCTATAGAATTTTAGTAATGTTTTCCTTAGGCTCACATTTCTGACTGGAGGAATTCCTGGTGAACTCTGGAAGCGTTTGTGAAAAAAAGATTCTTGTCATGCCTAGTCCTAAAATGGGTTCAGACAAATTTGTGGCAGGTAGCCTTCCTTGTGACCCCCCCACTTCCCACAAATGCTGTACAGAGGAGGCCCTTGAGGAGGGCTATTGTCCCCATGCCCTCTATGGGCTTTCCAGAAGCTTTTTGGGTGGCTGCTGTGAAAAGAGGGTAAACGTAGTGTCTGATCCAGTTGAGCCTTTGTCTTTTCATGCCGTCTTTTCCTCCTGTAGGGTTGGTCTTTGCATCTGAGCACTACTGCCCATTCAGAGAGCTGCCATCAGCTGCGTCAACAGTAAGGAATTACAGTATGCTTATTTCATGGGATGTAGACTTACAGCCGTGCAAAATTTTAAAGCAGCCCCTGGAACAAATAACACTGTGCTTAAACCAGCTAAATCATTTGCTGATCAGTGTCTTGGTTTGTGTCTCAGACCTAAAGGTTAGAGCTGGCCTGACAGTTGCTTTGCAGCACCGTCTGCTCTGGTTTTTTCAGCGCAGGTGATCCATAAGGCATCATAGAGTTGTGAGCCCAGTGGTTTATTTCGATTCAGATGATTATAGGAGCTTCCAGAGCATGAAAAGGATTCATGGTGGTTTGACTTCTTCTGGAGATACCAGTCCTTGGAAGCTCACATCCCATGGAATGATCGAAACCTTGTAGTATTGGAAAGGACGGCTAAGGCCATCTAGTCCGGCTCCACACCAGTATAGGGAATCCCAGCTAAACATCCTTAATCGATGGTGGTTACCCACACTGTTGGTTAACAGCCTTCAGTGGAAAAAAAAGGCTGTCACCGTTGGAAGAGATCTTACCATCAGGATGTTCTTCTTAATGTTTTGTTGGAATCGTCTTCCTTTCAATGATTCTTTAGCCTCTAGGTTCCCCTTGACAATTTGTCCAGTCATGTCCACCTCTAAGGGGTGGTCCTCATCCCTGTTTCCAAGCCGTAGAGCCAGCATTTTGTCCGTAGACTGTTTCCATGGTCACGTGGTCAGCACAACTAGACACAGAACGTCGTTATCTTCTCACCACGGGGGTACCTATTTATCTACTCGCATTTTTACATACTTTTGAACTGCTAGGTTGGCAGGAGCTGGGACAAGCGACGGGAGCTCACTCCGTTGCGTGGATTCGAACTGCTGATCTTTCGACCTTGCAGTCCAAAGGCTTTGTGGTTTAACCTACAGCGCCACCACGTCCCACCTCTTTAGCCTCTGGAGCATCAGAAAATATCCTTACTTCATTCTCCTTGTGACCGCCCTTCAGCGTTCTGAAGGTGGCCATCACTGCTCCAGGTTAGACATATCCATCTCTCCCGTCGCTTGCTCAAAAAGCTCCATTTCCAAACTGTTTATCATCTTGGTTGCCCTTCTCTGGACTCACTCCAGTTCTAGCTTTTAAAAAGTCAGTGAACTCTTGTGAGTACATCCCAGAACTTCCGCAGTTGATCAGTGCCATGCAGTTACGTGTAACGGTTAAAATCATATTTAAAGTTGTAAGAGAAGTAATGGTCAGGTTGTGTAATACAATGTCATCAAAACAGAATCAAATACATGTAATATAGTGTAAGAAATGAAATGGGTTCATCAAAGATATTTGTTTTTGACACAGATATCCAGACTGGAATCCAGAAGACTCCTTGTGGTTAAAGAGGTAAGCTTTCAGTTTTCAGTTGGACTCCTTTGGGCCACTTGAAATAGGCCTCAGTCATTTCAAAGCTCCTGTGTCACACATTGATATACTTTTGGGCAGCTTAATTCAGACTCTAGAGTGCCTTGTTCTCCTTCCTCTCTGTGGAGGCTGGCAGCTCAACTGTTGGGAGGCTGCTGTGGGGCAAAACTGCCCTGAAGCTGTTTTGCTCGCAACGGCCATCTCTGTCTGGCAGCTGTGAGTCTCAAAGAATTATAGTATCATTTGGTGTATCCCAGATTTAAAGAACGCTGTTCTGTAGGGTACCGGTATTTTTTTTAAAAAAAATGTATTGTAAGAGCTCCTGTTCTTTGCTTCATTTCCACAGAGAAAAGTAACATGCTGTAAACTGTGAAATCAGATCAAGCTATTTCATTCTTCAGAACTGTTTGAGAAGACCTATATTTTCTGTCTTCTCCATTTACAGATACAGAGATGGCAAAAACGCAAACCATCCTGAAAGGCGACCGTCTGCCAGCTCTAGTCCAGAACGCTCTAGCAGCAGCCCCAGATGTCGGAGTCGGTCACGATCTAGAAGCCCAAGGCTTGACAGAACCAATCAGCCAAGACCCCAAAATCCAAGACAGCAGCTTAGTCCCACACGTAGGTCAAGGTCTCCCCAAGGAACTCCAAATTCCAACTCACCAGGTTTCCCATCCCATAAGGGAAACATTGTCGCTTTGAGGCATTTCAGTGCTCCGGGAAATGTTTTTGGCTCTTTTGTAGTTTCCAGCCACTTAGCGTGTCCCTTTACCTCTTTCTGCCCTAACAGGCAGAGAGGATAAAGTTTGAAATCCAGTTGTGACTTAAAAGCATGTTGGGAAGGGTTATACTGGCTGATAGCAGAGGCAGGGCTGGAAGAGGATCAGTCTGTAGCGCTGAAAGTTCATGACTTCAGATCAGCGAAAAATTTGCCTTTTTTTCCCCCTCCTGATTTAGAGTCACCTACAGAAGCAAAACCTAGCACGTCTGCAGCACAACATGAGGAGAGTAAACAGCCAGGCAGTGAAACAGCGCACCCAGGGGAGCTGCATAAAGGCCAGGTTCACCAGGAGCAACCAGAGGACAAGCCCGCAAGCCAAGAGCTGCATTGCCGTGAGACGTCAGAGGAAGGGGAGCGGCCACTCCGCAGTTCTCCACAGTTGGAATTGAGTTCTCTCGTTGAAAAAAGTGTGGCCCAAGCTATGTCATTGTTGCAGCCTAGGGGAGCAGTGACTGCCGGACTCACGCAAGGGACCGGCTTGAGCTCACTTCCTTCTGTGCAGCTTGATCCAGGCACAGTGCCCCAGGACCTGATCTCCATTATGAAGCTGGTGGCGACACAGGTGGTTCAAGCAGCCTTGGCTTCCAAGGAGGCCTCCAGTGGGCAGGTGGGCTCGGATGGGGCTGGCGTTTGTCCCCAGCCCAGTGATTCTGCAAGTCACAAGGAAAGAGAGGAAGATAAGCAGGAACAGAGGACACAAAGCATTTCTCCACACCCAGGTGAGGAATTGCTGAGGATTTAGAGGGAGCCGGGGTGTTGCCTGTCTGTAAAAGGAGGTACTGCGTGTTAGGGATCTCTTTCAGGACCTGCTTTGGTGTCGTAACAGAAGAGGGACTTCACATTACCATTATCCTG